TGTTGACCTTAATGGAGATATGTCAATTCAGGTAAAATCTGAACTTGGCCATAGACATTTTTAAATTTCCATGGAAAACCTACCACATAATCAGAAGGGAATGTGTAAATTGAGCTTGAAGTTTTGCTTGGGTGCATCTTTTCTGCATGTGAACTTAATTTATAAAACCATTCCCTGCCAAGTATGGAAAATAGAGCCACCATCTAGCCTATAAATCTGGTGACACAAGCTGTGGATGAAGTCCTGATCTGAGCATGCACAAAGATATAAAATAGAACTATGAATAACAGCCAGGAGGCTTCTGCAGTGAAACTGACACTGAGTGATCTCATACAGGTCTAGAGCATGTACACAAGCTGGCCTTCCCGTCTGTCTGTCCTTCACTTTGACATCTTGCCACTCTGCATTAGTTTCCCTGCATATCACCCTTCCCACTTTTTCTGGTATTACCATTGCTTTCTGTACCACAGCAAACACCTCTCAAGTTGCAAACAGGCAGCCATCCTCAGGTGCCTTCTTTTGAGAACATGGCTGCTGTTTGATTTAAAATATGGCTTTGGCGTAATTATATGTGCGTACATGTGAATTTTACAGATGAGCATTGCTGCTCATCAACCCATTTGTGTCCTCTCAAGAGAATACATCAGTTGTGAAAAGTAGGAGGAATGCGTTGTATGTGGGTGTTTCAGCTGTAGAGATCTTCTAAAAAATAACTCATTCTCCTACTAGAGAGATACTGCTATTCAGCACACTGGAAACAGTGTACTTTCTGAGTGCATTGTTCCCACATACCTATCTAATTATGTAGGTTTAGGTCTGTTTACCAATGTAATTTTAGCAAATTATGGCTGGACGAGGAGAGTCAGTGATTTGTGCAGTCAATAGTCTGTAATGAAAACTGAAAATATTTATAGAATGGAGAGATTGCTATAATGTTGCTCAGAAATTAAAGCTTAATTAATGTTAGTTAATATGTTAATTGCATAATTTCATTAGCTAGCTGCTGAAGCAATTTATTTTAACATCTTTCAGTGTCCTTCCTGTAGAGCTGGATTATGACTTTAAGTTTCTAATGTTGTTTTGAATATCTCTCTTTACAGAAAGATCTATCTGAGGAAGAGGTAAGTTCTGTGAGGGTTTTTTTCCTGTACAGAATTACTGCTTAACACAGACATTTACATTTATATGAAAACGTAATTCAAGAAAATTGATAGCTCAGGAAGTTGGTCAAATATTTAGTCTAATGGGATTGCCTCCGCGTAAAACATCTTTTGTATTTGCAGGACAGAGCTTTAATTTGCTAGCCTAATGTCTTTACTTTCCCTCCTTACTTTCAAAGTTGAAAAAGAACAATGTGTGAGTATTCGGGTTAGTAAGAGTTTTCTGATACGTCTCAGCATGTCATCCAACTGACTCAATGGATAAGAAGACATGACACAGAGCTGAATGTGGTGCAGTTCTAGACCTTAATGCTCTTCCTAGGTAATAGAGTTAAAAAAAGGGAAGGAACTCGAACAAAACTCCACCATTGCACCTCTCCAGTTTCTCCACACTGTGTCACCCTGACTGCAGGCATTGATAGGTCTGGCTGCCATTTTGGGGGGAATTAAGTTAGTTTTCCTTTTAAAGATGTTAGTCCTACTTAGGAACAGTTATCTCAGGCAAAGACTGTTCTGATTAACAGCTCAAGGAAACGGCCAAGTATTAGGAGTGTCTGCAAAACTTAAAGCATTTTATTTTTCACTAATTTCCACTGGCATGTTGATTTTTTTTCTGTCAAAATAAATCCTGAAGTAGAAAGACATTCAATATTATCCTTGGAAAACATATTGTTACTAACTGGGATATTCAGATAAGAATTATATTTAATCCCTTCACCTCTAGACATCTCCAAGCTGAGTGGCTGTTTAATAAATAATAAAAGCAAAAATAAAAACAACATTCCTTATTCCTCCTCCAAAAATAACCCCAGTATCTGTAATAATTCTGTATTATGTAATGGTTTTAAAGCTTCAAAAATATTCTAAAAACCATGTAACTACATACCATAATGATGACTGACTGGGACATATGATGGTAGAGAAAACAGAAGAAAAAGAAAGATTAGAAACTGTTATCATGAATTGCATTGAGTATACATCCATTATATGTTTTGTTTATAGATCAAGCTAGAGCTAAACTATGATCTACATATAGTGGAGTAAGGTGAAAAAAGGATATAGGATGTTTTCTTAGCTCACCGTCTTGACTATCTCCACAGTGAGTAGTAATCAAAACAATACAATACAGTTATAGACACAGCATGCCAATAAACTTACCTTGTGAAGAGTTTGGAGGTAAAGCCATTATCAAGATGACTGGAATTTCAGGAGTAGGAATGATATGGGTTTTTGGATCGAGTGTAGGAGGCCACATTCCTGATGAGTGGTAAACTGACAGTTAAAAGATTTCTGTAAAACTTGTAAATATAACTGGCTTCTTATAATTACTGGTGTACTCAGACTAGCCATACAGTAACTTAAAAGCAACATTCATGTGTTTTCTACCTCTTCTATTAAAATGTGCTGATTTGGATTATTTTCATTCAAAGTGTCCCCAGGCTGCCACATGTAACTGTGAGAAGGGGGAAAGAGGCCCTCCTGGCCCTGCTGTAAGTAGCTGTCATTTCTCAAATAACTGATATACAGTATAAATCAAGATTTATTTCATTGTTGGAATTTTTTTAGGAAATTATTCGAATCCAGATCCTGAGACAAAAAAAGTTCAAGGTTCAGTACATAGTCCTCCAAAGTTACATTGCATGGAAATGTCACACCAGTAGGAAGTGCACAGAGAGACCTGATAATGCCATGAGGCACTTCCTTTAGAAAAAGAACGCTGTGATTTGGTGAGGCTCTCCTTTTAGCCACAGCAGTTTAAAAGGCAGGAAGGAGCAACTTTCCTGTGTGGACCAGTAATTCATCTATTAAAATCAGACAACCAGACCAGGTGGATCTAACTAGCCCCAAATCAAACACTAATATCTGAAAAGTTCTCTGAAAACAAGAGAGAGTGCCAGAGGCTGAAGCACTAGCAACAACTGAGATAAGAGACTTGTAAAGAGGGTAAAATAGGCTAGACTTCTTTCAGAATAGTCTCACAACTAGAACCCCTAAGCAAATATAGGGGCTTGCTTCATACAAGGTTTGGTGATCTAAACTGCAGGGGTTATGTTTCAAAAAGAACTCTCAGAGTTGAATGGTCTGATGTTATATCCCTAACATTGAACTAAAGCACCATAGTACCTTATAAACCCTTGCTCAAGGTGAATGGACAGTGTCAGAGTTTGAAACAGAACCCTAGAGAACTGGACATCCTCGTCCTTTTGACATGAACATCCTATACATAGATAAACAGAAATACCCTCTGGTTTTATCCCACACAGTACAGCACACTTTAATTGCAAACATAGCCTCTTGTGTACAAACAGTAGTTTTGATTGGGTTATTGTTGGATGTCTACTTGGAGAGTGCATACACCTCTTAAACAAAATCTTACACCTCAAAGAGTACAAAAGAAAACAAAATACTCACCTGGCAAGCTGTGTAGCTACAAAACCATCTGATGACCTCTTCTTCAGAGGAGACCTGAATAATTTTTGTTTACAGCAAAGACAAAAGAGAAAAATGGCTGCCTATTGAGTTGGTGGTCCTGCTACCAGAAATTCAATTTCAAGGTTATGGTAAATGCCAGGATTTTAAAAAATAAATGCATAGGAAGAAAATATCCTAAACATATACAAAGCCCCTGTATATATTTTAAAATAAAATTTTTTGACTGACATATTATAAGAGTTTTATTTTGCTGTTTTCAGGGTAAAAAGGGTCGCACTGGGGATGATGGAGCTCCAGGCCTGAAAGGAGCAAAGGTGATGTGATTTTTCAGATTTAGGAGAAAGATTTGGTACTTCATTAATATGGACTACCCTAATAGTGCCCATGTACTTTCCACCTGTGAATTTCTTAAACTTCATCCACCCCTTTTTGCTGTAGTAAAGACTAAGATTCTTTACAAATTAAAATCTTATATCTAACATAAAAAATCATCAGTGTAAAAAGAAGGAGCCGGTATGCTTCCTGTATTACACTTAGATACCTATTCAGATAATCAGGACAATGCTAGTTTATCCTTATTTCACTGATCTTAATGTTGGATTATTCATAGGGGGAGCCAGGTCTTAATGGAATCCCAGGACGAGATGGAATAGAGGTAAAAAAAATTTTTTTACCCTTCTCCAATGAGCAGTGTTCTTTCAAGGCAAAACACCATGGTTTTAAAAAATTTTTAATTATAATAGCGAATTCCAGTTCTGGTTTACCAGCTAATGATTCATTAACACTAGAAAAAATGAAAACATTATCATTGCTCAAAGAAAGGGAATAATTCCTTCTTATAAGAGTGATCTAGAAAACACTCTCTAATAATACATAGTCCCTCCGAAAAAAGTGTGAAAAGCTCTGATATGATAATCTAAGAACATTACAGAAATTGACATTGCCTGCATCTTTATGGGTCAGTTTAAATTTTTCATTTGGCAAAGGAAGGATCCAGTGTGTAACAGCAATGAAAAAGTTACATGAAATACATATAGGAAGTATCTGTAGGACTAGCCTCTTAGTGCTTAACTCTGAATTCATTCACATATGAATCACTCTACTTTATATTTTCCTATTTATTCAGTACAGCCTTTTTAAATAGTGACTTTTTTCTTGATTTTGTATTTTAGCATGTTTCTCACTGAAATGGAAATATGAACTCTGGTTTTACATCATCAGAATCCCAGTCTAAAAAATGACACATGTTCACACATACAACAGCATCTACCATGACCAGTAGGTGCAATATTTAGAGTTATATTGACATATTTATCAGAGATCACCATTTCTACCTAATTGTTCATTATAACCTGAAATGTTTTTTTCTATAGCGATTAGAATGTTAATAGCGCCAATACCCACATTCTTACATTTGGGTTATATATCCTCACAACCTGTTTTGCTTTTTCATTTTTCCAGGGGAAATCTGGATATAAAGGAGAGAAGGTACTACTTTTAGTCAGAACTTCTACTTACATATAGACATTGACGTTAATATTATTTATTATGTATAGTTCCTTATTTCTTATAAATGAACAATATCATCTTATTAGCTGCTGCACAAGCTCTAATAGAAGATGTGTTCCTTCCCCAGTGAACTTACAGCACAATTACTGTAATATATCATGAATAGAATTACATTTAGGTTTTCAACTAAACCACCCAAAGAACAAGGATTATATGTTCCATATACCTCATAAATATTTGTTTCTTTTACTTTCCAGGGTGAAAGAGGTGAATGTGGAATCCCAGGGATAAAAGGAGATAGAGTAAGTATCCACAAAGTTGTTATGTTTTCAGGAAACAGTTAAAATACAGAAAAACTACAACTCCCTCAATAACAACCATGGTGATGCATTTAAGGCAAATATTAATTCTAAGGCTGAGGGACATTAACAACTGACAGTTTTAAAAAATGAGATGAGCAATTCAATAACTTTCAGTAACTTTTTACCATTTTCATTAACTTTCTCAGCTCCTTCTATATTTTCATGTAATTTGTCTTAAGGCCCAAGCCTAAGCCTGTTTATAACAATGGCAAAACTCGACTTAAATAGAGTCAGGCTTGAAGCAGTAAGCAAAGGGAATGAGAGGTGAAAATTAAATCAAGGTTTCTAATACTGATCTTCAAGATTTGCTGTGTAATTGCTGTGAATATATTAAGTGAAACAAACAGGGTTTAATCCTGGATTACCGGTCCTTGATAATTAACTGTTCATTTTTACTCAGTATTCTGATTACCACAGTCCATTTAAAAATACTTACTTAATACCTGCTGGCTGCTGAGCTTCTCTTGATTTTATTTTTTATTTTAATGTAAAGATATCCAAATAAGATACCTTAGTAAAAAGTTACCTAGAAGTGGTTTTGACCAAATCTAAATACACATAAATGTACCCTTTTTTTTGACTTGCCTTTCAGGGTCCTGAAGGCCCAGTAGGCCCCAGAGGAACAAAAGGGCTACAGGTAAAAAAAAAACCCAAACCCAAACAAAAAACCCACACAACTATAAAACCAACAATATCTGGTTCCCTAGGATTCAGAGCTCTGAAATATATCATACCACAACTGTCACAGGATCTTTGAATCACTGAGTTCAAGGCATCCAAAACCTATCTTCTTAAACAGCAAAATTAACAAGAATTTGGAGGAGCAGTCTAGACAAATAAATCATCCTTAGAATTCATTCAGTCTCAAAGACCACAGCAAATACAGTTCCATAAAAGCCAAAATCACTCATTTCCCATTCAGTGCCTTAACTATTTCATTATCACTTACAGAAGTACATGGAAACACCTTAGTCACTTTTCATCCCAATACTCTTGGACAGAAGGCCAAGAAGCTTAGCCCATCACTGATGATTCAGTAAATCATGAATATAGATTAGCTTTAATTGTATTCAAATAAAGGCAGATCAAATTTCTCTCCACTGATTACCAGACCCAGCTCCAATTGAGTTGAGTAGCTGAATCTACACATGCATCAGAAAGCAAAGCTTCAGTTCTGAAATGTTTGTAATTTATATTTCCATGCAGACTACAGCAAATTAAAGACTTATTTTTCAAGCCATGATTGTTATGAAAGCTTGAAAACTCTCATTTAAACCACTCCTGTTTTAATAGGGTCCACAAGGACAATCTGGAGATCAAGGGCCTGAAGGTCTGCAAGGATCAAAGGCAAGAACTGCATTATTATTTCTCTTTCTTAATGTTAAAAGGTATTAATACAGCATCACAACAATAATGCTTTTATCCTTATACCCCATACCCTTCTTGTAGGCAATGCAGTTTAATGTGACATTGCTAGCAAATCATATACTCTTTGTATTCTACAAGGTTCCTAAGAAAAGTCTTCATCTGCTCTTCGTATTTGATTCAGATTCCCAATCACACTCCAGTCTTTTCTCACAGTTAAAATATGGCAGCATCACTGAATATTACTTAGCAGCATTGCATTTCTTCAGTTTTCAGCTTAAAACTATTTTTTTTTCCCTTAGAGCCAATCAGGAATTCTGTTTGGGATCTCAAACAAACTCTTCTCTTGAAACTGTACATTCTCAAGGAGAATTCTATAGCTCAAAATTAGTAGTCCCACTGTTTACTGATGCTCAGCAGAAGATATCCAAAAGTCACGAGGATAAGTGCAATTCACGACACAGTTTTGCAATGGGCCCTCTGAAGGTCAGCCACAGAAATCACCCAATGCTTCACTGCAAGATCCAGTCCCCTCTGTAAACATAAAATACTTTTTTTTGTTTGTTTGTTTGAAAAATGTGTGATTTACATTTATTAAATCTTTAAGGTTTGATGGGTTTACTTGTAAATTCCAGGTATACCGATGAAGATTACTTCATTCTGTGGTTCTGTGATGATTTGCTATCTTTATCATGGAAGATGCAAATAGCACTGGTATTATAGACAATTATGCAAACGGTGTTAACTTCATTAAGAGAGACCACAGATACACTTTGCTTCTTACAAAAACCTTAAACTGAGTAATTCAGCCAAAGCTAATGGGTTCTTCAATTACTGAAAGGAATATTGCTGTGGAGAAAAACTTGAAGATAAATTTATAAAGGACATTATCTCTTTTGATATCTCTCTTGATATCTTCTTTGCACCATATTAAGAGCACCTGCTCACCAACAGTGAGAGTGCAGTTGAGTGTCAAAACTCTTATAACCTACATGAAACGAAACATTCTTCCTTTTGTTTAATCTGGTATCACTCTGTACAGGAAGTATCTATGATCTTAATAAAGGGAATTTTTAAGCACTGAAAGGGTGAATGTACTGTGTAAGACAATGGGCTGAAATTTGGGTTATGTAGAAAATGAACTTACTGAGCTAAATTGATTTCCCTAGACACCAATTTATAAGCAGAACTGTTTCTTTTTTCATTCTTTGAAAAGGGTGAAAGAGGTCTCCCTGGGCCACCTGGCTTGCCTGGAGAGACTGGAATAGGACTGCCAGGCCCAAAGGTACAAGCATCTCTCATCTTCTATATTATATATATTGTAGGATAAGAACGAAGACCAAGACAGCTGAGATAATATACTTGCTGGTACATGAGAAACTTCAAGCCCCAAAATGATGTTTTTATAGTACTGGAAAGGTATTTTGTATGTTGATCAAAACTGGGGAAAAAAAAAAAAAAAAGGTATATTTTAAGTATGTACTTTAAAGGACTTTTTTACAGTAGTTCTTACGCTTGACGTAACTCAATCCAAGCAGTGTATGGCTGAGTGAAAATACATGCATAGGCTTAAAGAAAAATTGTCCTGTGAAAAACAGGCATATTGGTTTAGAGGACTGGCATAAAGAAAACAGAAACATTATGATAGAAATACCGACTTCTTGGAAAAGGACAATAAGTTATACATAATGTACTAGGAATACTTATTGGGAATAATCTGTTTAGATTCAACATTGTCTTCTCTCAAATGCAGAATTGAGGCTGTCCTCTAATTCTGTGAAACTGCACCAGTTCAATGTCTGTTGGGCCTTGTATGCTGTATGACTGAGGACACTCAGATTTTCTCAGTCATTCCTGTATTCTCCATCAAGTATTTCAAGCACATGATGTCTGATGAGTTGTTATATGCTGCACACATACAGATACCTAAATCAGGCATTTTCAAAATTCATCTTTGTTTGAAGGGTGACACCGGTTTGACAGGAAGACCGGGCCCTGTTGGCCCACCCGGAGTTGGTGAGCCAGGACTTATGGTATGTCTATTTTTCATTTGGGGAGAGGGAAGTGGGACAAAAAGAAAAAATTCTCAGTGCTTCCCTGTTAAAAGGTACATATGTGTTAAATAATACCATCTCTTTTCTTTTTTCCACTAGTTCTCACTCTTATACATACTACATTGTCTGACTTCCATTTCCTTTAATAAAATGGAAATGTTTCTAACTCCTTAACTTTTCTAATTATCTTAGTCCCCAAAACAGCTATGAAAAAATAAGGCCTTATGCAAAACCACATAAATATTTAAATAATCTGTCCCCTGATAGATTCAAATCCACATGGGGTAACTTCAAAGTTGACTGCTTTTCAGTATTATTAGAAGATTAACATCAGCATGGCTTTGAGGTAGAAACTCAATTTCAACAACTGTAACATTAGAAACAGTCATACCTAAGCAACCTCCATAATGACATTCAGATTGAATAAGTGGTCCCAGATAACAATTACCTTCACTGGAGATAACAGAGGGAGAAATTTAAAAAGAAGTTTTACATTCAGAATTTATAGTACCTTTGGCTCTGAAGTCTCTTCCTTCTTTTCCTTCCTTTGCTCCTCCTGGTAGTTGTAAACTCAATCTCTTTGTGGTAATTCAGAAAATCTGTACACCAATTTTATGGTTGCTTTTTTTGAAAGCATCAGCACCTTTTACTGAGCTATTTACAATACAGCAGACTCAAATTCATATCTCATCACCTGGATGAAAGACCCCTAGTGCAACCATGAGAGAGATTTTGTGCAACTTTTTCCCAAGTAGCTTTTGTCCACTGAGAAGGAAGGATTTGTAATAATCACTTCAAAAGAGGTGCTCACATGAAAAACAGAAAGATGGTTTGGTAACTGAGCTGACCTCAAACTTGTTTGAAATACGCTGCTGGAGAGGAGGGAGTTCTTGTTGAAGAGCCCAAAGAAAAGAGCATTCATTACTAATAAGGCCAGTGGTGACAGTCAGCTGAAGTGGGGCAGCAATGTTTCCTGACTCTCCTCAGTGACAGTATAGAGAGAAGAGCCCCTCTGTGAGGAAGAGGTGCCTGTGATGTGCACCTTTGTTAGCCACAACAGCTGTACTAGTATAACAGAAGATTCTGATTTTAAAAAATATACTCAATATGTTTTTTAAATATAAAGTGTATTTGCTTCAAAAGTTCTTTTTCTTTTTATAGCTGAATGCAGTATAATT